AGGGAGGTGTGCAGGTGGGGAAGACGCCGAGGATGGGACTGGGCTGGGGGGGCGGGCTGAGTCTGGGCGTGGGGCGGAGGTAATCTCCACGATAAAGGCGGATCGGATCCGATCGGGTGAACCTGGGGGGCGCACCTGTCGTCTGCAGACCTCCCTCTCGCTCAGACGCTGGCTCTCGCAGTCCTGGCGGAGCAGGAGAAGGTGCTGCACGGTGGCCCATGCGAGCAGATGTCTCACCCCTACCAAGCCGCTCTCTACACCTCGGGCCACCTGCTCTGCGGGGGCGTCCTCGTCCACCCACTCTGGGTCCTCACCGCGGCCCACTGCAAAAAACCGTGAGTGTCCGTGCCGTGGACGGAGAGTGGCGGGGACTGGACACCACCGGCCTCTCGCAGGCTTCAGGCGTGAAGTGACACGCACGTCCCTACCCCCCTCCCCACGTCCGTCCCAGTGTGAGGACATCTGATAACCAGGTTCATCTGGCCCAATACTTAATTGAGCACTAAATATGTGCCAGGCCCTGTTTGAGGCCCTGGGGATCCAGCAGTAGCGGAAAAACAAACAAACAAAGTGAGTGAAGTTGCTGCTGTTGCGAAATGACCTCACCGGGGAATCAGGCGATGCAGGTCCCCGAGGCGGGAGATGAACACATGGAGCAGTGGGAAGCCACTGGGGAGCCGCAGTCTGGGAAGCGCCGAGGCCTGATGTGCGTTTCGAGGAGCGCACCGGCTGCCGCGTGCAGAGGAGACGGGGCACGAGTCATGCGGAGGCCGTCGCCGTGGTCCGGCACCATCGGATGCTGGCCTGGGCCAGGATGCTGGCGGTGGGGATGGACGGAAGGTGACGGCCTGGGGACCTGGAGATGCAGGACGGGAGGGCAAGAGCCGAGCAGGGCCGGCCTCCGAGTCCTGGACTTGAACAGCTGGGCGTTCGGTCGTGTCTTCCGCTGGGTCGGGGAAGAGGGAAAGATAAGCGCTTTGGATGTGGGCAGGGGAGCATCAGACATTTTGCTTTAGTCAAGGCGAGTTTGAGATGCTTGGGAGATGTCTCAGGAGGGTGCCAGGTCGGGCCCCGGTGCTCAGGGGAGAGGTCAGAGCTGGAGGTAAACCGCGAAAGGGCCGTCTGCAAGCAGGTAGCATTCAAAGCCACGGGACACAGGTAGAGACAGCCTGGGACCGATGCCCAACAGACCGATAACCACCGGTCAGATTAACAACAGGTGTTTGGCACTGAGTGTGGGCCTAGGGCCAAGCAGAGCCCTTTACACACAGCCCCTGGCATTTCCACAGTGGGAATTGGCCCCGATTTGCAGAGGAGAAAACCGAGGCTCGGAGAATAGCGAGTGACAACTCGGATGCTTGGAAATGACAGGCGCTATGTCTCACTGTCGTGGGGAAGGGGTCTTGTCTCACGAGGACCCCCCGGTTCCCCCCGCCATGCTCAGGGGGACCTGGCATCACACCCACCATCCTCATTCCTTCCCGGGGCGCCCATCGATTGAGAGCACCCACTCAGGGTCGGATTCGAGGGGAGCGGTGGGCACGAGAGAGCTACGCAGAGTCCCTGCCTTGGGGAGACAGGGCCAGAGACACAGGTGCCTGACAAACGAACTCTCGAAAAGCCCTACAGTTACACATGACCCCAAGTCCCATGAAAGGGAAGAACAGGGATGGCTCCCCGAGGAGTAAGAGCAGAGGTACCCACTAGACAGACGTGCAAGAGGGTGTCGGGAAGGGCTTCCTGACGAGGTGGGATTGATTCAAGCTGAGGCGTTCGGGCGGAGGGAATGCAAGGGGGAGGTGGGGAGATGAGAACAAGCGAGGCGTTGTCAGGTATAAAATAATGTGGGACGGAAAAAAAGCAGGAAGGGGATTCAGGACCTGGCCGCTGCGGTGGATTTTTGCATTTTCACTGGGCCTCACGGAGAAGGTTGGAGAAGGTCGCGTTGGAAGGGGGCGAGGGAGTGAGCCGTGCGGATATCCAGATATCCGAGGGAAGGAGTTGCTGGCAGAGGAAGCAGCCAGAACAAAGGTCCTGGGGTGGGAGCATGGCTGTCGCGGTCAGGGAAGCCAGTGTAAGGGGAGCAGGAGGGAGGGGGACAAGGGGAGACGCCCGAGGGGTGACGGGCAGGACACCGTGGGTCACAGCGAACACTCCGGCCTTTACGCCGAGTGAGTCTGAGGTCACAGGAGGCTTCCAAGCAGACCTGTGTCATCAAATACCTCTGGCCGCTCTGTGGGGGATAAACTGTAGGGGGCCAAAAGCAGATGTTTGGGGTCCGGCAAGGTGGCTGGTGCCGTGGTCCAGGCAGGAGACAAGCAGTGGGGTGGAGGGGAGCGAGAAGTGGTCAGATTCTGGACGTGCTTTGGAGAGACAAAGGGATTCGCGGGCGGCTTAGATGTGAGGTGTGCTCAGGAATAGTCTCCAGGGTTACTGCAGGAGGATGGAGGGAAACAGGCCGGATGGTTCACGGTGGACCAGGCGACGCCCACCTCCCGCCACAGCCCCGTCTGTCTGGAGCCTCACCTGGAGTCTCTCCTTCCCCAGGAATCTCCGGGTCTACCTGGGGAAGCACAACATTCACGAAAGAGAGAGCTTCCAGGAAGAGAGCTCCGTGGTCCGGGCCGTGCCCCACCCCCGCTACAACGCAGCCACCCACGACCAGGACATCATGCTTTTGCGCCTGAGGCGCCCGGCCTCGCTCTCCGATCGCATCCATCCCCTGGCGCTGGAGACGGACTGCTCGGCAAACCACACCACCTGCCACATCCTGGGCTGGGGCAAGACCCAGGACGGTCAGTAGGACGACGGACGATGGCAGGGCGCGAGCAGGCCGATGAGTGATGGGTCGCGGGGAAGGTGGACCGAGGGGTCAAGGGTCAAAGAGGAAGGTGGTCCCATGGTGGGTCCGTGGGGCAGTGTGTGTCAGTGGGAGAAGGGTCAGTGTGGAGGGAAGGCAAACACAGGGGCTGGGCCCAAGGATGAACAACCAATGGAGAAAGCAGACCGATAAGTCAATGGTATGGGAGGACGGGCCAGCAGATGAAGGGTCAGGGGGCACACGCCAATCAGGAAGGACGCCAGTTGTCAGAAAGGGCCAATCGGGGTGCTCCGATGACCGAGGAGAAATTGACGGAGGAGGGCCGAACGCAAGACGAGAGATGGCTCGAGCAGGAGAGCCAGCGGAAGGGCGTGAATCGAGACGGGGAATGGGGTGCGGAGAGCCGGTGGGACGGACCCGTGGGGAACAAGGGACAGTCAAGAGGGGTCCCTAGAGGAAAGAGCGGAGGAAGAAACGAGTCCGGCAGAGCAGCGAGAACCACCGCCCGTGGGCCTGCAGGTCCAAGGCCAAAACATGACGGCCGACCACGGGATGAAGGGCCACCAGGAAGGAGGGCCCCATGCGGGGAGACGGGACCAGTCGGGAAGGGGCTGATGCTCAAGCGATGAACCAGTCGGGATGAACCGATGGGCGAGAAGGGTCCCATCAAGGGCGAAGCGGTATAAGAGATGAGGTCCCTGACAGAGGAAGAGAGTGTGGGGTCAGCCGGAACTGCCGGAGGAGGAGGGGCCAGGGAGCGAAACCCTTGCGAGGCGGGGACTCGTGGAGAAGGGCTGGGTGGCTAGCGAGGAAGGCTGCCCGCCGGAGGGGAGAATGCTGCCGAGAGGGACCCCCAGGAGCAAGGCCAGGGCAGGCGGGTTTTGAGAACAAGTGGCAAATAAGAAGAAAGGAACGAGAGGGGAATGAGGACCAATAGGGCTCGTTGGGGCAGGAGGGTGGAGGGAGGAGGCGGGAAGGGCCGGGCGTGCCGGGCCCGGCCTGATGTGAGCCTGGCTCTCCTCCCCACACTCTCTCTCTTCAGGAGATTTTCCCAACACCATCCAGTGTGCCTACGTCCACCTGGTGCCTCGTGAGAAGTGTATGCAGGCCTACCCTGACCAGATCACCCGAAACATGGTGTGCGCCGGGGATGAGAAGCATGGGAAGGATTCCTGCCAGGTGAGGCCCATTACGGAACCCTCCCGGTACAGAGCAGGGGCCGGGCGGACACGAGGAAACGCAGAGGCACGCACGGACCAAAGCAGAGCTTTACGGGGACGGGCTGGGGGAGAATCCAAGGCATGAAAAGGGTGAGAGACTCAGCTGTACACAGAGACACAGTTAGGCACAGGCAGAGATACAGGGACAGCCAGCAGAGACAGGAAACGCGGCCAGGGATGGGGACGAAGCAGTCGAGGACCAGAGAGACACAGCAAGGCGGCAGGTGGCGTGAGGGGACCGTCCCTCCTCAGACGGAGCCCCCGGAGTCCTGTTTGGACACGGCCACGCTGTGCAGGAGGGGGCCCTAGCTGGGGGCCAGCGGGCTCCACCGCCACTCCCAAAGCGGGGTGGACGAGAGACCAAGAGAAAGTGCCACACAGCGAGCTGTCTGGAAAGGAAGGACGTGAAGACCTCTCTCTCTCTCCCTCTCTCTCTCTCTCTCTCTCAGGACTCTTATCTGTGTTTAGCACTGAAATATTTTCTTCAATTATTTCATTAAATATTGCTTTTCTACTTGAGGGTGATTCCGGGGGTCCACTGGTGTGCGGAGACCGGCTCCGAGGCCTCATATCGTGGGGTAATATCCCCTGTGGGTCCAGAGAGAAGCCAGGCGTCTACACCGACGTCTGCAGATATGGCCAGTGGATCCAAAGAACCGTTCAAGCCGATGGATTCTGACGCGTGATGTCCTCGGTCCCCACTTGCTGGCTCTGGAATATCTCTGGCCAAGACCTCACCTCCCACCCTCCCCATCCCCGCCATCTGCCCAGATCCAACCCTAAATGCTTAATAAAGGCAGTGACTCAACGGCACCCATTCTCCTGATTCCAGCCCGGCCCCATCTTTGCATCGCTGGGAGTGAGCGGGGACCCGGCCAGAGGTCTTACGCCACCACTAAGAGAATACAGGGAGCTTCCTTTCCCGATTATTCCATGGGCTTGATGTCTTCCCACAAAGGAGCCATCACAAGTCTGGAAAAACCCGACTTGGGATCCCAGCTCTGCCACGCGCTACCCGTACCCCCCTGGGAAATGCCTTCCGCCACTGCGTAGACTTCCGCCTGTAAGATAAGGACCAGAATGGTGTGTTCTTCATAAGGCGGTGGCCGTTGCTGGGTATGCTCAAGGTTTTGAACTTGTGGAACACACGCAATAGTGCCCAATAAAGCATGAATTTCATTGTTGGTGGTGCTTTCGGCTTTCCTCCCACTTCTGCCTCACTGAAAACCAGATATGCTTAGTGCCCCTGAACAGCCCCCCCACCCTGGAAAACACCCTCGATTCATCCACCTTGTGCTAGCCCTCACGGGGAGCTCTCGCCCCTCAATTCCCCCTGTGGCAGCAACAGCCGGGAGGCGAGCGGGTCGGGAGGCCAGTGCGTGTGGGATGAGCGGGACCGGATTGACCTCAGACCCCAGGCTGAGAGGTCGCGACTTTCTCCTGAGGGCAATGGGGAGCCATGGAAGGGCTCTAAGCAAGGGGCAGCACTGGGACCAGGTGCAAGACGAGCCGCAGGGGAGAAACTGGAGGTCGGGAGGAGGTTGGGGTGCTGGTGCGGGCAGAGATGAGGGCTGCGCCAGGCCTGGGAGGACTGGAGAATGGAGACTAAATATGGGGTCACCGCATGGAACCACCTGCAGGAAAGCCTGGGGGCATGGGAACACCTGGGGTGCCCTGAGACGGCGAATCACTCAGGGCGGTGGGAGCTGGGGTTCGAGGTGGACAAGCGGGTGACATGGCTGGACATGCAGGTCGATGGAAAACAGTGCTGGGCCTTGAAGGCCAGGCAGAAGAACTTGACCTCGATCCCGAGGACCCCGAGAATAGGAAAGACAGGTTCATGTCTGGGGAGTAAGTAGAAAGATCTCTCTGGGGTCCCTCGGATGTGAGGCGAATGGGCAGGGAGGAGGAGAGGCTGGAGGCCCCCAAAGGAATGAGGGGAGTGGACAGGCAGGGCCGAGTGAGGACCCAGGCTTCTGCATGCTTGCCGGGGTTCTCCCACCAACAAGCACCACGTGTGACCCCAAACTGACGTACACCCCTCTACCCCAAGCCCCAGGCCTGCCCCTGTCCTCAGAGAAGCCTTCTTCTCTTAGGACCCCTAATGCACTATCTCTGAGAAAAACAAAACAGCACTAAGACAGCTGTCCTCCCAGGCAGGCGAGGGGGGCAGCCAGTGGCTCCCCAGAGCGAGGGAACGAAGGCCCCAATATGGGAGCTGGCATCAGGAGCGGAGAAATATTTAGGAAATGAGCGAGGACCAGAGACGATCCTCCATTTGTTTCACAAATATTTATTGCCATCCTATTTTGCCCGGGGGCAGAGCAGAATGAAATTAGATGTCACAAACAGAGAGACTACATACAGCACAGGAGATATTTAAAGTCGATCCTGTGCCACTTTACGATGGAAGAGCGAGGTGGTCCCAAAACAGAGGGAGTCTTTGAAAAGAACGGAGCCCCTCGGTTCCAGAGACGTGTAGGAAAAGCACACCTACACGTCTGAAGGACCAAGGAAATGTGACATTCTCCCAAGGGGATGTGATGGGAGGAAGTGGCTGACTCCTAGGAGGAGTATGTGGAAATATTAAGTCATACGAATGCACTGGGCCCGCCTTGATGGACCGCCTATGGAAGTTACGAATGATAAATAAGGCCGCGCAATGCCCTGGGGGCACCAGGAGGAACCCACCCAATGAACACCCAGCCAAAACCCGACTTCAGCTCATTGAGAGGCAATCAATCGTCTTCCTGAATGGATGAGAACAATAATAAACACTTAGCACACGCCATGCACTGTTCTCAGGAGCCGTATGGACTAACTCATCGAATCCTCATAGCGAGCCTGTGAGCCAGGAACCCTCATTTTTTTCCGAATTACGGATAGGGAAACTGAGGCACGAGGGGATCCATGGTTTGCCCAAAGCCTCACAGAGAGCAGGCGGCCAAGTCAGCCTGCGAATTCTCCGCTCTGCCGTAGGAAGGTCTTCTTTGAGTTCTGACACGTTTTCGAACTGGGCGTAGAAATAGTTAAAGGCCCAATCCTTAACGCGAATATATTTCGAAGCAGAATCTTTGCACGTTGGCCATTTGAGGCGTTCGTCCGTCTAAGAGAATTTTACCTATTGTAGGGACGGCCTCGTCCCTTCAGCTCGAAACGTGTCACTTGTGATTTTTAAGTTGGAGTCAACACCTAGTTCATATCCAGTGCTGGGAAATTTGAAAGGATGCAACGTTGAAAGAATATACAATATTATAATATCAGCATCGTAGGCAGAGATGACCGAAGGTGTTTAAATGCTGGGAGATCTGCCCGAAAACTAAAGGACTTCCCGAAGAGATCGAAGCTATCGATTTTACAACTGTAGTTTAAGCCGTCTGAAGATAATTAACTCCGTTTTAACTTCCGCCAACCATTATTATGAAGAACCGATAAGAGTGACGATGAAGACATGCCTAG